TGGCTGATGTACGTTGGCCTGCAGGATGGAGTTTGCTAAGATGTCTGCAGCTTATTAAAGAAGTTAATACAATGTGATATCGAAGTCACCGAGGGACATAACCTTATAGACGGTGAGTACTATATGCTGTTAGTTTTCTCGGTGTAAAAGTTCCCTTTATCGCCTACGTTACGTATTCGCGCCTTATATGTTACGTAACTGCTTTATTAATAAGTGTTGCCACGGCGGAATATTATCGCAACCCAGATAGCAAAATACACTTGGGCCAGTTGCGGCTAGATTCTCGCCTGCCCGAGTCCGTCTGCTGTATCGTTACTCGGGCCAGATGCGGCGGCAGAAGCGAGCCGACGCTGCCGTAACCATGCACCGGAATCGGGCCGTGAGTAATGTGCGGTGTGGCCCAGAGCTGCCGCGACTGAAGTCTTCATATACCTTGATATAAAACCTTTTGTTATTAATACTGGAATTTGTAATTATCAATAATGTTTTATATTTTGAGGCCATTTTCTAGCCACGGTTGACCGCGGAAATGTATTTTTAGAAGGTTATATACACCGCCATTTTGTGAAGAAAAATCACAATTTTGTCACCGGCAAAGCGACTGATTATGTAAACGTGGCTAGTTACAAACGTGGCGTGTGTATGCTTGTACATATCTTCGTTTCAGTGTCTAAGTTACATTAATGTTGAGGAGTGTCCACAAACTCTTATGTCCAGAATTGTTGGTGCTTTACTATCGTTTAACGTTATACTTATATATAAATAAAATACTATAAATAAATAGTTATTGCTTTATCTTATTTCTTTCCTGAAGTTTATGAAGTTTCCAATTGTCTTTCAGGACAAGATTGAACAACATAATGCAGCCTAACAGCATTAGACCAATGAAGGCATGTCATATGAAAGCATGGCTCAGTTACAAGATGTAAGTATGTTTCATTATCTATACCATGGTTTTAATGGCTTACATACTATTTTAAATTTGTAGGTTTTTACTTACAAACAACAATAAATGTACACCTACGTGTTTAAAATTATTTTCTAGGTTTTCATCGAAAGATGAGAGATCAACTGAAGAATGCTATGGACCTGACTCTAAGGTACTCTTTCTAAACTTTCTCCACTTGATTAATATTATTAAATTCTAGCTTTGTATGGATTCCTTCATATTTGTTTGTATGCCACATCTTATGTTCCAGGAATTGATTTTACAGCAGCACTTCTCATGTTGCCAGCCTTGTTAAGCGAGACACTTCAACATTTCGTTGTGCTCCGGTGCGTATGTTGTTTTCTGTTTAGTATATGCTGTGATAAATGCATTTTATAATGCTTGATATTCTTTATATTAAGATGATGCAGTGGGTAGTGCTGTCACCTTACAGCAAGAAGGTCGCTGGTTCGAGCCTCGGCTGGGTCAGTTGGCATTTGTGTGAGGAGTTTGCATATTCTTCCAGTGTTCGTGAGGGTTTCCTCCAAGTGCTCCGGTTTCCCCACAAGTCCAAAGACATGCGCTATAGCTGAATTTGGTAAGCTTATTTGTCTGTAGTGTATAAATGTGTGTGTGTGAATAAGTGTGTCTGGATGTTTCGTAATACTGGGTTGAAGCTGGAAGGGCATCTGCTGCATAAAACATATGCTGGATAAGTTGGTGGTTCATTCCACTGTGGCGACCCCAGATTAATAGAGGGACTAAGCCAAAAAGAAACTGAATAAATGAATGAAATTTATATTAGTCTTTTAATCTGTGATACTTTTTTTTTTTAAATCAGTGAATATTAATTATTTTCCTTTCTATGCATGTTGATTTTCTCTTCATCAGTGATAGAGTGACTGATATTAGTGTAATTATTGCTTTGTCATTTACAGTGAACCATCTTCACCACATCCAACAGTTCAAGTACAGGAGGAGGCCACCGACTGGACAACTGTGTTAACAAGACAAGTCACGGCAGTCTTCAGAGTTGATGGGATTGCGATTGGCCGGGCTAATGATGTGGATGAATATACATTTTTGACATATCCATCTTATTAGAAGATCACCTTGATGTTTCTGCAGTGGAATGTTTTGAATGAACTGTGGACAGTGACAAGCCTGGATCTACTCCAGTTACCAGAGTGATCAACCTTGTTTTTTGTTTCTCTACATGCTCTTGGGATAATCACAATCAAGTTAATCCAGCACACTGCTATCATTCATGCATAAAGCACATTTTTAAATAACTTGTGCTCCTAATGACAATCAAAGAACATTTTCCAGATATGAGTGCTTTACATGTCGTGTTTATCAAAAGCATAAAGACATATTGTGTTACAACAAATTACAACTCCACTTGAGGATGATGAGGAGTAATCTGATGTTGAGGAAGAGGCTACTGATGTATTTGGTTTTCTGCACTGTTGAAGCAATTTATAGAGAAACATTGCCTTCATTCTGAAATACAGAGAAAATTTTGATGACAAATTATTTATTATGACTGAGTATTCTGACTCAAGACAAATACTTTGGACTTTATAAAGTGAAGTACTTGATGTAGCCTGTGTAATGTGTTTATAAATCTTAAACAGTATTCTTGTGGTCTTTGTATTAAGGGTAGATTATATACTGTACAGTGAGTGAACAATTTTTATTTGTTATCTAAATTGTTCTTTTTACTGTTTTACATGTCTGCTTTATATTTACTGTGTAATTTTATTTCTTGACACATTCAGTTGTGAGTTGTAATGAAATATTTCTACATTAATAAATAAAAATGGACATCTGCGAACCGAAATATTTTATTTATTTATTTGTGCATGCAGTCACCAAAGGATCAAAATGCCTGGGTCAGTACCCTGAAAATGCTATATAATATAATAAGGTACATTTTTGTACCTTCGGTGGGGGTACAAAATTGTCCCTTAAAGGGTACAAATGTAGAAGGTACAATTTTGTACCTTTAAATAGAGGTACAAATTTGTACCCTTAAGGGTACCACCCCAGTGACGGGCCATTTGTACCCTAAAAGGTACAATTTTGTACCTTTTTTTCTGAGAGTGTAACTTAAATCTTAACACTATAACAAACTGCTGTGTGTGTGCGCAGTGTATATCTCATAAGGGTTCAGTCAGTTTAACATTTGTGGCAATTTCTGGAAAAGTAGACGGCTGCCTGCCCCTGTGGGATGCAGGCTTTGTGGACCCAACAACAAACACATCTGACACATTTCTGCAGGGACACCATTGTCTGCCCTTTGCTGGAACTGCTACAAAGAAAGAGAAAAACATCTGAATCATAATAAGCGTAGTTGTGAGAATTTGAATGAACTCTTACATCGATTCTACATCTCATTGAAGTTGGCATGAATGGGATAGCTTCAAATTAAACTAAAGATATATACTTTAAATTATATAAACAAAAATATACATACAGTAAAAGTCAGAATTATTAGCCCCCTTTTTAATTTTTTTTTCTTTTTTAAATATTTGCCAAATTATGTTTGAGCAAGTAAATTTTCACAGTATGTCCGATAATATTTTTTCTTCTGGAGAAAGCCTTATTTGTTTTATTTCAGCTAGAATAAAAGTAGTTATTATTTTTTCATCACCATTTTAAGGTGAAAATTATTAGCCCCTAAAGCTATTTACTTATTTCAATAGTCTACAGAACAAACCATTGTTTTACAATAACTTGTCTAATTACCCCAACCTGCCTAGTTAACCTAAGTAACCTAGTTAAGCCTTTAAATGTCACTTTAAGCTGTATAGAAGTGTCTTGAAAAATATATAGTCAAATATTATTTACTGTCATCATGGCAAAGATAAAATAAATCAGTTATTAGAAATGAGTTATTAAAACTGTTATGTGTAGAAATTAAAAAATCTTCTCTCCGTTAAACAAAAAATAGGAAAAAAAAATAAACAGGGAGGCTAATAATTTTGACTTCAGCTGCATATTGAATACCAGGCAAAAAATAAATAAATAAATAAAATGAAATTTGATATTACTTGAATATCACATTTTTGGGTGATGGAATGCACAATATTGCTCAGAGGCGCATACTGCTTTTCATACTGCTTTTCATACTCCTTTTCAAGATACAATAGTTAAAAGTAAGTAGCCTACTCGCATGAAAATATTTTGTTTTATAGGCTAGTTTAAATGTTAAAAAGGCTTGCTATAGAATTTTGAGTCATGGCATGTTTTCATTTTGAGTCAGTCAGTGCTTTGTTAGAAATTTAGACAGGATAAAGCATTCAAAATGATAGTCCGCCAAAAATTATAATTCTGTCAATATTTACTCACCGTTTACTTGTTTCAAATCTTTATTCCTTTTCTTTCTTTTGTTAAACACAAAAGTAGACAATCTATTATGATGAACGCTGGATATCTATTCACTTCCTATATGTTTTTCATGCATTGATTTTCTAAATATGGTCTTTTGAGGTCAACAGAAAAAAAGAAGCTCAAATGTTTGGGACTACTTGAGTTTGAGTAAATAATGAGTGCATTTTCATTTGTGGGTGAACTATTCCTTTAACTGCTCATATAATTAGTAAATGTTCAATATACCATGAGCAGTATACATGCCTAAAGTGGGGAATTTGCTAACTTTTTTATTCTAATAGATTATTTGGTCACACTTTATTTTGATGATCTGTTTGTGGAATTTAAGTTACATTGCATATATGCCAACTAATTCTCATTATATTATAAGTACACTATTAGGTTAGGGTTACTGTAAATTGACATGTACTTGCAAAGTTTCTTATAGTAAGCTAAATGTCTGTTGAAGGAGCAGTATTAACAGATATTAAGCAGCCAGTCTACTAATACTCAAATGGACCATCAAAATGAAGTGTTACCGATTATTTAAAATGTTTTGATTATGTTGGAATTATGACAAATATTTTCAAACAATTAGTAAACCGTTTTAGTGGTCGACTCGGCACTCTTTAATACCGCGCGTGCGCAGAGGCAGAGTCTACTAGTGTATAAGAGTAGAGCTGAGTTCAGTTGAGCCGAGCTTCAGTTCGGTGTGAAGATGACAGAGCGAGCAGAAGAAGAGCTGATGGAGGAAATACACTGTGCGTTTATAAAGCTGCTGTCTGTGAGGCTGAACAATTTGACTGCACGAAAAGACCCGAAATAAAACACTTCACAATATGAAGACGCGAACGGTAGGCTACTGCAAACTCTGATATTATGCACTGTATAACTTTAACGTTACTTGCCTTCAAAAACATTTGCCGTGGTACGTAACGACAGTTTCGCGCCACACCGTCTGTTGTTATTGTTGCTACTGTAAAATGGTAACGTTAATTAGTGAGGGACTTGACATCTGCTTTAGGCTTAGCGAATCTTTCTGCCTTAACAGTTTTAAACACTTTTCTACTGACAGACGTGTCAGTGGCAAACTGTATACATATGACCCTAACAGCGGTTTCTGTGCGCCAGATTGCAGGCAAACCTATTTACTGCAGATGGCTGCGTGATTAATATAGCAAATGAACGAATTTCTGTCATACTTTTGGTCAGATTTTTTTTTTTTTGTTATGTAACTCCATTACAGAATTCAGAATTTTGAAGTGATGAGTAAGTATAAGTTTATTGTAACGTCAATGTAATGAAATTGTAGCCTTTCCCACAAGCAGTTCTGTATTGATATGAAAATAACTTATAATAAAATGAAGTATATCATATATTATAAAAGCTAAATAAGGTTAAAAAATAATGTACAATTATTTAAATCATTATTAAAAAATAAATTTAGAAACGGGATGTAAAATATTTATTTGCTTGTGTGCTTTTAAAATATTCAGTCCATTAACTTAATTAATTTCATTGTAAAACTGTACGTGTCAAATGTTTTTCTCTTTTTTCCCCAGTACTTTTGTGTATATATATATATATATATATATATATATATATATATATATATATATATATATATATATATATATATATATATATATATATTTTTTTTTTTTTTTAACAATTTGGTTGTTGTTTGGTTGTTTATTATTTATTAATGCATTGGGACACTTTTCAAGTGTGCTTAGTTGTTTTGAGCCCTTAACAAAACCCAACATTAGCTGTCATAAGATGTCATTTTAGTTAAAACATGGTTTACTTTCCATGCATAGAATTTGTGATAATATATTTTAGGTAGTGCTGTCATATGATTAAATCACAATTATTCGCATCCAAAATAAGAGTTTGTATTTACATAATGTATGTGTACTCATTGTGTCTAAATATTTTGTATGTATATATACAGTTGATGTTAGAATTATTAGCCCCCGTTTATTTTTTTTTTATTTCAGCTAGAATAAAAGCAGTTGTATATTTTTTTATTGTTTAGTTTTTTTTATTATTTTTTATTCATTGTTAAAGGTAATAAATGTTTCCTGTTTCTTTTGTTTCAGCGTCATGGGATCATACTGATTGGTGTTGTGACTGTGCTTACAAGCTTATTGTTTGTCTACAACAGCACTTCTGCAGACACACCAGGGGATCAGCTGCATTCAGATGGACATCAGATAGATGCTGCAAGCCGACAGACATTCAGCTTAGAAGGTTACATCAGCATCATTGATCATAAGGTAACTGACGCTTATTAGGTCTATAAAATGCAATGTAGTGCTTAAATGATTAATATGGTGCTTAAAATGTAGAAAACGTTCCTTTGAAGCTTCTTAAATGCATTAAAGGAATAGACAAATATAATTTAGTCATCCACAGTAATACAAGATGTAGGTGACTTTTTTCTTTTTTAGCAGAACATTAAACAAGATTTTTAGCTGAAACTGTGGTCTTTGATGATTTATAAAATTCAAGTTAATAGATACCGGCACTTCAGACTGTTTGACAAGGCTGTGGATTAAAGGTTATAATGTTGAGGGAAAAAAAAGTTCAGTTTCTTGCACAGAATGATTGTATTGCTTTACAAGAGCTCAGTCTATTTCTAGAAGATACATTATTTGTACAAATAATATTTTTTTAAACTTCAAAAGTAGTTTAGTTTGTTAGTAGTTGTTGTTGTTGTTGACTTGTATTTATGAACCACCAGTATCATGAATTCAGCTAAAAGCCTCTGTAATCTACTAAACAAGAGGTAATCTATATCTTGGATGGGCCAGAGGGTTAGCAAATTACATAAAAGTTTAATTTTCAGATGAATCTTCCCTTTAATTTTCTACAAATTCCTCTCATTAGTTTTATTTTTCCCTTTGAAAGTCACATGCACCGATAACTACAGTTGCCTCTGTCTGTAATTTTTAATAACTGTATCTTCCTTTATGGATAAGAGCTCCAAAATGACTCATCTGGAAATCACAGTAAATGCTGACCTTTAAACTTCACAATCTCATCTCTCAGACCAGACTCTGATCTTCTACACTTCACCTTTGCACAAAACCTCCATTGTTCTAAGCACTGCATTTTGCTTACTAATATATAAGTCTATTCATTGTGTTTGGATTTAGGTCACGATATTTGAATGAATTTTTCCTAAGAACTTAAATATCAAGAGTAACAACAATTTATGATTTTTATTGATTTAAAAATAAATTGCCGCTGCATTTTCCTTAGTCATCAAATAATATCCTTTTGGCACTGGCATTTTACAATATGCAGTGCACTATAATGCTTACAAAAGACTTGGCAACTTGTCTTTCCTTCTGTCATCTGTTTTCAGTGTTCTGTCTCTTATGTTTTTTGTGATAAATTGGGCACAGGGCTTTAAAGCTTTTTAAATTCCACCATCCGTGATGCTGTAATTCCTTCACTTCTGATCAGATACGCTGGAAAGCTGCAAGCAGGTGTTGTCAAGGCTTGGCCTCATCTTGAGGCATTGTAATCAGCAGAACTATCAGGGATGTAAATCTGCGTCTCGGTTCTCTCTTTCGCTCTCTTTTATTTCCCTCCCTCACTTGTGCTTTTATAACGTGACCATGGATTTGGGTTTAACACTATCCTCCTCTGTAGAAGCATTGTTTACTTTCCATGCATAGGATTTGTGTAATGAGCACGTTTCATGAAAAATGAAATTATGTGTGTGTGTTCATGAGTGTGTGCGCATACATGGATAATATATTTTAAGTAGTGCGATTAATCGCATCCAAAATAAGAGTTTGTATTTACATAATGGATGTGTACTCATTGTGTTTAAATATTTATAAGTATTTATATAATATTTATATAAATATTAATTTATTAATATTATAACAGTATTAACAGTATAATATTAAATCGCCTCACAGCAAGAAGGTCGCTGGTTTGAGCCCTGGCTGGGTCAGTTGGCATTTCTGTGTGGAGTTTGCATGTTCTCCCTATGTTCATGTGGGTGTCCTCTGGGTGCTTCGGTTTCCTCCACAGTCCAAAGACATGCGGTTTCCCAATGTTGTGCTGTGACTGGAAGGGCATCCGCTACGTAAAACATGTGCTGGATAAGTTAACAATTCGTTCCCATGTGGCGCCCCCTGATTACTAAAGGGACTAAGCCGAAAAGAAAATGAATGAAAGAATAATATTTATACAATGTGTATTATATGTATTATATATATATATTCTCTCTTCATTTATTCACCCTTATTCAACTCTGGGTTTTATCTGTTTTATTACACAAACGGAGAAATATTGAACAAATGTTGTAAACCTGTAACTACTGACTTCCAAAGTATTTGTTTTACCGTTTATTAATGTTTTACTATTTATTTGTTTTGTATCTCCTGTGGAAGTCCGTGGTTACAGGTTTCTAACATTCTCCTTATATGTCACCTCTTGTTTTCCAGAAGACTAAAAAGAAAACTTAAACTGGTTTGGAACAAGTAAAAAGTGAGTAAATGATGACAGAATTTAAATATTTGGGTTAACTATCCTTTCAAGTCATTAAAAAGGTATAGTTGACACAAAAATAAAAGCTCTGCATCATTTACTTGCCACCCATGTGGCTTTCTTTCTTATGTGGAAGATAAAAGGGCATTGTTGATGAATGTTCATGCTTCTCTCCTATATACAGTCAAAGTGGGGACCAAGAACTATCAAAACAAACAGAGAAACACCAAAGAAGCAACATATTCTTAGATGTCTGAAGCCATACTTTAGCTTTGTGTCACGACAGAAACTCATATTTCATTGATCATGAAAGAGCATTATATATAAATAATACGATAACAATAATACAACAGTGATAATAATATTTAATAATAAATTATTGTACTACTGCATACAGTACAAATAATGGTCACACTTTATTTTGATGGTCCGTTTGTTGAATATAAGTTACATTGCATCTACATGCCAACTAATTCTCATTAGATTATAAGTAGACTGTTAGGTTGGAGTTAAGGTTAGTGTAAGTTGACATGTATTTGCTAAGTTTCTTGTAATCAGTTAAATGTCTGTTGAAGTAGCAGTATCAACAGATATTGAGCAGACAGTCTACTAAAACTCAAATAATAATATCCATCTTTGAACATTATTTCAACATTTTAAATTCTAAAGATTTACTCTAAAGAGCAATATAGACATTCTGAAATAATACTAAAAACAACAGTAATAACAAATATTTTACTAGGTGGTTCATTCCACTGTGGCGACACCTAAGAAATAACGGACTAAGCTGAGGGGAAAAAAAGAGGAAGGAAAGGAAATTTTACTAGTAATAATAGAAGTTTCTGTCCTTTTGCAGAATAATTTAATTATGTACACTCATGTACTCAGGAAACAAGGGGACTAGTATTTTTTTTTTTTTTTTAAATTAATCACTTAAAATTTGTTCTATTAAATTGGTCTTCTATAGCCGCACATGAGCTTTGTGTCAGAAACAAACCTACATATTGTACAAAACTATGTATGACATTCATGGCCAACAGTTACTGTCATATATATATATATATATATATATATATATATATATATATATATATGAGCAATTCCGTGCAAATGTCAACCTTGCCATGAAAAAGATTTTCGTTTTTACCAAAATATGGAAACCATTTCTGGGTTTTTTGTGTAACCAAGTATTTTACAGTACTTTAAAAATACTCAAAAATGCATCTGTCAATGTTTTCAAACTATTCTATTTGATTTACCAAAGTCACACAAATGGTAATTTCACATGCGTCACATCCATAACAGAGAGATGTCACATCCATAATGACACTTTTTCCTCAGAAATGTGAAAATATTAAGTAAAATAAAACCAAGCAATTTTGTTTTATAGAGAGCCGACTCTAATCCTTTTGATTAGCATTATTTCTTTTGGGTTGTGCAGTTTAATTCACATAATTTCTACAAAGTATGTTGTATACTGTAAACTCGCAGACTTTTTTTGTCACATCCATAACGCATGCTTATTTTCCTCATTTAAAGTACAAAACACGTTTACAGATTGATATTTTTCTGCTCCCATAACTCTGTGGCTAGTTGCTCTTGAAAATATAATTAAAATTTTTAATATAATGTTAACATATACTTTCTCTGTCAATTTATGTGTTGAGTTTTTACTGCAAATGTCACATCCATAACGCTGGAATTGCTCATATATATATATATATATATATATACATAAATCAACAATAGAAAGAAAATCAATTAAATTTTAAAAAAGACATGACAATGATTAAATTGTAAGAGAGCTTCTGGGTGAACTATCTTTTTAATGTGATTAAAAATATTTTTAAAAATATAAAGAATCTAAACAAAGTAAGATAAGTCTGCAGTTTAACTTGAAATGTCGTGAGCAGTCATGTAGGCATCCCTATCACATTTTTCACTGCGAGACACGGCTCTCAGTCTACCAGTTCTCATTAGTCCAAAGAGCACACTTATCCAAGCTAATAAGAGTGCCAAGACTCAGAGCCAGATTTTTAATGGATACTCTGTGGAAGTAATTTCAGAAGCAGAAGATTTGCTCATATTAGCGCAAATGAACAGCCAGTGTGGAAGTTCACTGAATGAACATGGCCTACAAGTCTTCATCAAAAACATCCGTGTCTATTTTCTAATGTTCAGTGGAAGGAAATGATTTCTGAAATTCATGTCGAGTAGATGGAAAAAAATATGCAGATGATCTGAGCTAATTTTGACTGATGTGGTGATCTAGCGTTGACCTACTTTTGCTATAAAGTTATTTTAAATAATAAGAAAAGGTAAATAAAAATAATAATAATAAGTATTTAGAATTATAGAGATACCGGTTTGTTTTTTTTAAATAAAATATTAGTCGGTGTTAAAAATAATGTAGAAAATAATACAAATTAGGGCTGCACGATATTGGAAAAGTCTGATGTTGAGATACTTTGTTTTGCTGCGGTATATATATTGCAATATAAATAGAATTTTTATCAGATGACTTAATTAGCTCTATTTGGAAAGATTTTATTCCTTTAGATCGACTGTAAAAAGACTAGATCAAAAAGTATGTTTCTATACAGTGCATCTGCATAAAATATTATAAATTATATAAAAAACAGAGCAAAAATAAAAGTTACATAAACAGTGCTTTATGGTTTTCTGAGTTTAACAGTATTCGAATATAGAAATTGAGCAATAAATTGTAAAATAACATGGTCTACATTGTATAAACAATTTTATGCAA